ATTTTTTTTGGCTGCTCAAAAGTCTAATTTGCATAATTTATTCACACAATTGCTGGTTTTTACTATTTATGTCTAATACTGCGCATTGTCTATTTTAATTGTTCCTAATTTGCACCAAATGCTCCTGTCACACTGTGTATACTGACGATTTTTATTGCTCCTTGTATGCCTCTGTGCCGACAGACCTTTTGATCATGCACAATGTTGCCCTGATTGGTTAATCACCCTTGTCAAATATTCTAATGACGAAATAAGACATCTATTTTTTACGCTTCATCAGTGAACTGAATGACCTTAGGGGGAATTAGGTTCCACACCTGTCAAGTTATGCTGTAGTAAATTACAGCACGTCATAAAATAGCAACACATTTTTTCAGTTACCAATAATCATTTTAAATATTAAGTAGATTTATGATTTTTTTGTTTTATTGGATTAAATTTACGGTAGTAGAAATGCGTATCTGTCGGGAAAAGGAATTTGGTAAGTAGATATATATTGGATTTAGTTGATATTTTACCTGAAAAAAAGATACGTGACCGGCGATGTACCCTATTTGGACAGCTTGTCTAGCGAAAATTAAGTACAAAATAAAAGGATATATCGTCAATTTGAAGAAGTTTCTCATAGTACCCAAATTAAATTTATGGTTTATCTTTGAAAATTAAGCAGTCATTGCTTAAATCATGTGGTGGGATCATCAGCAAGCTTGAATATCGGAGAAATAATAATTAATGTCGAGGCGTCTTCAATTAATTAATTAATTAAAGCAATTCAGTTCCATATGATGTTTTCATAAATAATATATAATGCACGCAATAAAATTAATAAGTTCTTCATCAAGATATATTTCAGTTGTACCAGCGTGTACACCTATACCGGAAGTGGGTATTACACGTCACAATCTCGGTCTCGTCTGTCTCGCGAGAATGACAGAACGCCAAAATGGCGGCGCCCATGAACTTATTTCTCAAGTAAAAAATAGTGTCTTAAAACACGAATTTCTCTCTTATAGGGTTGATGTCAATATGAAAACTGTCATGGTTCCTCTTTTTAAATGATGAATATTTATATAAGACAGACATCAATCCATCCATTCCTATTCCTTTAAACCTTTGCCATTGATTTAAATTTTGGCCCGCTATTCATAAATTTCCTGTTGATACGGCAGGTAGCACGGAACATTATTCAATGGAAAAAGGTGACACTTTGTAACCTAATTGAGTTGGGTACCGAAAAAAGTTGTATTGATTATGATGCCCTCAATTTACGTTTCAAGGACCAAGTTTAATTTATTACTAAAGTCTAAACGACTTCAAACGCTGAACATTGTTTAAACATTTGATGGATATGAAATGCTAGACAAATCAAAGCACATGTTTATTTGTTTTATAAAACCCTTATGACCAAATAAAAATGTATATAATTGTCATTTAGCAAATAAAATAACAATCGTATTCAATTACAATACCCTTTTTGTATACAGAAACATGTACAAGTATTAGTATTTCGAAAAAAATGCTATGTAATGCCGTTCAGTCGGACATTTGAAAATGAGTTCGTCATATAGAGACGTTTATACGGAGCCCCTAAGATGACATTCTCGACACTTTTACACCGGCATTTAATTCGTTTTTACGAAATATTAATTCGTAATTACGAAATATCAATTCGTTTTTACGAAATATTAATTCGTATTTACGAAATATTATTTCGTAATTACGAAATATTAATTCGTAAAAACGAAATGTTATTTCGTAATTACGAAATATCAATTCGTTTTTACGAAATATTAATTCGTATTTACGAAATATTAATTCGTTTTTACGAAATGTTATTTCGTAATTACGAAATATTATTTCGTTATTACGAAATATTAATTCGTAAAAACGAAATGTTATTTCGTAATTACGAAATATTAATTCGTTTTTACGAAATCTTTTTTAAGGTCATTTTGAGCTTGATAATGAAACTATTAATCTCACAAATGGGTCATTTACATGCCTTGATCAACTTTGCGATTATAAGCCGAATGGTTCTCAAGTTATTATATTCAAGTGAACAGGGTTTTTAAGTGAGAAGTCATTCTCTATCCAAAATGGTCTTTTTTCCCCATTGTCAAATACATGTTCCTATCAGCAATGTTTTAATGTTTGAGGCAATCCTTTACGACATGTATCTTTAAAACAGAAGCATGCTATATTATTCCGTTCTTTTATCATATACATAAGTAAAACTAATGGGACGAGGAGGGGGTTGGTCCAGATTTCACTAATCTAATCAATTTAAAATGAATATTTCCTCACAATTTAGTATTAGAAATGTCCATGTTTGGATTTGAAGCACAGGACCCCCATTTTAAGTAAATTTTCCTAGCGCGTGTCTATCACGGCTGTGGCTCAACGCTATTGACATGCGAATATTTTAATTTATGTACAATAGTGTAAAGTTAAAAACTTGGGGAGAACAAAAATCACTATTTATAGTGCATATACATGCCTTTAGTGCATGTACATGCCTTATATTAAGTCAGGAACTTAGTTTTGAGGCCTTATTTATAAATATTACCAAAACTCTTTGAAACGCTAGAAAAAATTTAATTCGTTTTTACGAAATATTATTTCGTAATTACGAAATAACATTTCGTTTTTACGAATTAATATTTCGTAATTACGAAATAATATTTCGTAATTACGAAATAATATTTCGTAAAAACGAATTAATATTTCGTAATAACGAATTAATATTTCGTAATTACGAAATAATATTTCGTAATTACGAATTAATATTTCGTAATTACGAAATAATATTTCGTAATTACGAATAAATATTTCGTAAAAACGAATTAATATTTCGTAAAAACGAATTAATATTTCGTAAAAACGAAATAATATTTCGTAATTACGAATTAATATTTCGTAAAAACGAATTAATATTTCGTATTTACGAATTAATATTTCGTAAAAACGAATTATTATTTCGTAATTACGAATTATTATTTCGTAAAAACGAATTAAATTCCGGGGAAAAAAGTGTGGAAAATGTCACCTTAGGGGCTCCGTACGTTTACCCCACAGAAGCTTACACACTTTTTTGTAGCTTCGTAATAAAACTAGTATTTCAATGCTACGGAGCCCTTTGCATGTCTTTTATCGTCCGTTATCATGTGGATTGATTTGTTTAGGGCTAGCTGTATACGGGTAGAAATGGCCAAGTCTTGTTAAATGTTTATGTTGCCATCCAGGATCACGCTGTCTTGCATATATGTAGTTGAAAAGTCAAATATTTACGGAGCGTGTTTTAGTTTTCTCCTCAATTACTATCATGTAAAATCTTGACATAAAAGTGCGGGCAATGCAAAATACATTATTGAGCGGAGCCATACTTTAAATCATGAAAAAGCTTGCTTTAAAGTCGTAAATATACAATGGTAGATCTCGAACCATACACTTGCATTGTTTGTTAGTCTATTCTTTGGAAGTGTAATGTCGTGTCAGGAGCTGGATAGTTCAAGAATGCATTGATCTAGGAATTTGTGATAAGTTGCATTCACAAATTAATCTCTTTATCATCGAATATCTTTATACATATTTGACATTTTTGGCCGGTCTAAAATCAGTTTTACTTTTTGTAAAATTTACAGGGAAAAACTGAATATAAAGGAGAGTTTTCATTGGTCATTTTGAAATTTCAAAATGAAATTTGCCATTTTAAATAAAAATGTCAAGGATATTCCTTTCAATTAAAAAAACAAACAAACTGTAAAGGATAATTCTAAAATAAAATGTTCAAATATTGTCCAAAATAACGAGAAAAATATAAGAACTTATCAGGCATCCTCAGTTTATGATGTTCTATAAGTGTCTATATATGATATGATTATTGATGTGTTCAATTGATATAATGTTTATAATTTTCATATATTTTTACATATTAAACAGTATAGTCTTATGTATTTGTTAAGCAAGCAGCGATGCTAAAATTTTGTATGACTTTGCATGGAAAACTAAGAACTTCCATATGCAAGTTAACCAGTTTTACTTCAACGGAGTATCTTGTTTTAAAAAAAGATACTTCTTGCTATTTTTATTTTAATTTTAATTTTCACGACATTGTCAGCGTTTGGGTACAAGCGATCCAAGCGATAGTTGACAGTCTTGCTATAATGTATTGATAGTGAGAAATTTTCCGTTTACATCAATGTTTCTAGTGGAAGAATTAAATAACCGTGTACCAGGAAATCTTATGAATATCTTCCCTGATTAATCATTTAGTTTTGTCATAATAAATAAAGATATATTTATAAAGCGGACATTATATATATACGTTCTCACCACTTCCCTCTTTTAAATCAATATTTCGTTATACATATACACTGTTTTAATATAAATATCTTTAGAATCAGTATCAAGTTACTCGTTGCTTACAATGAATAGTAATACTTGTTTCCCTTTTGGATTTTTTTCAGTCATTTTAGTATTGTGTGTTGTCACCGGAACCGGTAGGTATATTGCATTTTTATCATTAACTTATATGACGGTCTTGTTGATGTTGTTATTGTTGTTGATGATGATAAAAATGATAACCTTACAATGAAAGGAAATGATTATGATGATGAGGAGGATAATGATGATTCTAACAACGTTAATTGCTATGAGGAGATTTTGACAAATTGAATTAGGATAATGATGTTGAATAAGATGATAGTGGTGAAAAAAAAAATGAATGATTCTGACATTATCATGGTTTATTGGTGAGATTTTGCCAGTAAAAAATATTTATGATGATTGAGATGTTGACGGTAGCGATTTTAACAATGGTGACTGTGCTGGTTGTTGATATTGTATAATGATAACGACGACGATGACGATAATGGTGATTTTATATTTACAGACGATAGTGCTTGTGATAATGAGCATGATGTCATTCAAAAAAAATTAAATTTTGATTTAATTAAAAACCGTTTCAAATACTAGCTGCATAAAAAGACACTATATTGCAGGCGTGGTGATAGACTGCTATATTACAACGGTAGATAACTACATCGGCCATCAGCAGACGACAAAGGACGGGACACCGTGCATAAGATGGGATTCTAAAGATTATGAGGATTACACAAACGAACAATTCCGTGACGCTACAGTATCAGATGCAGCAAACTTTTGTCGTGCTGTCGGAGAGAATTATCTCTGGTGTTGGACATCACACGATTGGGACAGATGTGGAATTGAAAAATGTAGTAAATTAGAAATCGTTGATAACTGAAATAATTCGGCATTATCGAATAAGCATTTTCATAACTTGTTACAAATAATTGTGATTAGTTTACACACTGTGGTTATGGTCGTTGACTTCAAACTTTGCCCTCAACGCCAAGTAATCGAGTCCCGTCAGGGACATTGAATTTATATGTGTGGGGAAGCTATCCAGTTAGCCTACTGAACGTCGTTGGTTCTATTCTGATGCCTCTTTATGTCTGAAATAATGCTTTCCTCCACCAGTAAAACTGGAAGTTTGCCATTTGTTCGTGTGGAGTAAAAGCTAATACATGTAGCTTATAGACACATTTTTAAATCCGTTTTTGGAACCAAGTAATGCTGAGCAATCGGTGTAATGTTTCTTGCGACTAATGGGGTTAGCGATCCTAAGATTTATAGTACGGCACACGCACCACTCGGCTTTGCTCATTTATGCAACTTGTATCAACGTTTTGTACATGAAGCTATGTTTTATAATCTTTGAATGACGTATTTATCTTAAAAAATAAGGCTTGGCAAAGTAACATACCATGTATTACTAAGTGAAGTCACCCTTATCCGGATCCTCTGTAATCTGGAGCAACCTCCATTTCTACGATTTAAACTCTTACGCCCAGTGCCTTATTTATAAATAAAATCCGGAAGCCGGAAGTTTCTTTTTCAAAACTTAAGTGTCGTACGGTACTGTAACAATTTCTATGTATATTTTGATCAATTCATGTGCCGTAACTTTGGGACTACAGCCTCAGACCGGGAAGCGTTTGATTATACTTCGAGTTTTATATCTTATAAAGCTGTTAAAAGCCATGTTATCTATCTTTTTTCATTTTAAGTCGTAAAACAATCATAAATGAAGTAACAGCGAACTCATTGTTGTTATTAATTGATAGCTACATATAAAAGACACTGTCTTTCAGGCGTGGTGATAGACTGCTATAGTACAACGGTAGATGACTACAACGGCCACCAGCAGACGACAAAGGACGGGACACCGTGCATAAGATGGGATTCAAACGTTTTACATGTCTACGAAAATGAACAATTCATTGACTCTACAGTATCGGATGCAGCAAACTTTTGCCGTAATATCGGAGAGAATTATCTTTGGTGCTGGACGTCAAACAGTAGCGATTGGGACATATGTGGAATTAAAGAATGTGGTAAATAAATAGTGACTTTAAAAAATTGCAGTTCCGGTACAGCATTTTTATAGTTTTTAATCACTTAGCGTCTGAGTATTGTATTTTATATTCAATATTTGAAACATGCACTTGTACAAGTAACTAAGGTGATAGCATATTAGTTTTGTTCATTTAAATCCTATATGCATGACATATGAACTACAAAAAAATAAGTAAAATAAATCAGCCGTGTAAAATATAAAGTATTAAAACTTAAAAAAAAGAATAGCTATAAAAAATAATAATAAAAAATAATTTAAAAGAAAATAAAATTAATGGTTATTTTAGTAAAATTTTAAACACATTTCCACATCTCGATCAGTTTAAAGCCCAATCACAATCTTAAAACAATGCGTAAAAATCTCTAAAATAGTAGGTTTTGACATTTTTCTTGAACATGTCCAAAGTCGAAGACTCTCTTATATACAGACGCAATTAATTCCAGAGAGTTGGACCGACGGTACTAAAACTTCTGTCGTTAAATGTTTAACTTTTGTTAAAGGGGACAGCAAAACAATAATCCATATTATCAACAGATCTGAGATTTGGTCTCTTTATGACAGGTTTGTGTAACAGTTCTGTTAGATAAACCGGAGCATTGCCCATAAAACAGTTATACATTGTACATAGTATTTTAAAATTGATTCTAGCTTTAATTGGTAACCAATGCAGTTAAAACAAAGAGTCTTTGGAACTATCATATTTTCCGCGTTGCAAAACAAGTTTAGCCAGATATTCTGGATACGCTGTAATTTCTGTAATTCACTTTCTGAAATGCCAAACAATATAGCGTTGCAATAATCCAAATGTGAGATTACAAGCGACAATACTAGGATTTTTGTGGCGTCCTGAGTCAGATATTTGCGAATGCTCTTTATTCTCAAGTAATTTAACATGGCAGTTCTACACTTGGTTTTAACATGTGTTGAGAATCTTAGGCCCTCGTCTAAGTAGGCACCTAAGTATCTTATGACACTGACATTTTGAATTTTATCACCGGCGATATCAATTTCTTTAATTGAACATTTACCAAGTTGGGATTTACTACCAAACATAATGAATTCTGTCTGAGTGGTGTTCATTTTGAGTTTATTGGCATTCATCCAGTCATTGATGATTACAGCACTGTCTTCAAGTTGCTTTATAGCGTTAAGTTCATTGGTCACTAAAGATGGTCGAAAGCGTTGACTAGCAATGTGGTCATCAGCAAAGCCGTACACAGATATGGTTGGTGGTATCACATCAAATAGGGTTCCCGCATATGTGAGATAGAGCCACGGACCAAGACAGCTCCCCTGGGGTACACTGCATTCCAGCAATCGTTGAGTCGATTCAGTAGAATTAACACTGACGCGACAAATACGAGGTCGCAGGTACGAGTCTACCCATGCTAACACGGTACCATTGATACCGTACTGACGTACTGTAACACGTCGAGTAGAATGTTGTGGTCAACGGTGTCGAAAGCTGCACTTAGATCTTTTGCAATTAGAGCTGTCACCTCTTGCTTCTCCATACCGTCTAGAAGATCATTGACAAGTCTGAGTAAAGCAGTCTCATATGAATGATGACGTCTGTATGCTGATTGATTTTTGGGTAACAAATTATGGGTATCGACATGGTTATTTAGTCTGAAGAGCGCAGCCTTTTCTATCAATTTTGAAAGAAACGATAAGTTACTGACAGGCCTGTAGTTTGACAATTATAATTCTAAACCAGACTTCTTAAGAAGGGGTCTAATGATCGCCTGTTTCCAGTGTGTTTGAAATACGCCTTTAGACAAAGATATTTGGCCAGTTTGGTAATGGTTGGCAGAAGCTAATCAAGAAGTGACTTTAATATATGGGTAATAAGTCCAGCTCACACAATTTGGTATTTAGTTCACATATAAGGCTCGTCACCTGTGTTTCTGTAAGATCCCTGAAATTTTCTAAAGGTTGAACTTGTTTGACATTTGGAATGAAGCTTGGAAAATCCTGAAGTGATTTACGAATTTTAGCTATTTTGTCCATGAAAAAGTCTGCAAACTTCTCAGCTAGCTCACCGTCATTTATAGACTGTGGCATAGGATTTTCAGCTTTTGTACCAGTTAATTCCGAAATTATACCATAGAGTTTTTTTATTTAGATTTTTCTCATTGATTACTAGTTTTTTCTCAGAATCAATTTCTTTACAGTATCTATTCTGTGCTTCTTTAAATTTCTTGAACTGTTCTGGCTCTTTGTACTTTCTCCAAATTCTCTCTTTTTTCCGGACAATACGCTTAGATTCAAATATTGACTCATTGAACTGCTCTAAACCCATAGCATGAAGGCAATTTTGAAAGTTTGTAAATGCACCACTACCATTGTTAAGGTGAATGTTGAAGTCTCCCATAATCAACAAGTTAGAGTATGTAGGTAAGATATCTTCTATGAAATTTGAAAAGTCAGTTACAAATTGCTCACATGTGGCTAGGGATGGGGGTCTGTCTAAACCAACTACATGTACTGTTATTCCTTTGAAAATGAGTTTCCATAGTTTTGTAACGATGTTGATTGAGATCAGACGTTTCATACTGATGTTGTTTTTCGTCAGAATACCATGTATCAGTCAACAAAGCAAAGTCAATTCTTTGTTCCCTCAAATACTGGCCAACAAAATTATCCTTGTTAACAACAGATCTACAGTTAAGTGTAAAACATGACACTTTTTCACCAATCTGAACACGCGTGTTTTGTATTGAGGGGTATTTCAAATTGTGTAGGTTTGCCGCAAAGGCTTAGTCAGGATTTTAGCTTTACCACCACGTTTGCTCCTTTTGTGTGTTTTGGGTTGAGAGATGTTCAGCTTATGTATAACACCGTGTACACAATGGTCTAATTTATTAAGTTGCCTATTACTCGAAACCGTGAACCCTATTTTCAATAGCTGGTCACGACAATACCTGTACTTTTGATTTATGGTTGGCTGGTTATTGATTTCAATCATGTCCGAAATATGTATATTTTGTAAATATCTGTAACTTTCATTCATCATAAACAACTTAAAAAGTGTTGTTGTTGCTAGTTAAATACACATAAAAATCAACAAAACATTCATTTACAATGTGTCACAAAATTGCACTTTTCAGCACTTTCAATCCGCCATAAAATAATAAAAATCCAGGAGCACAGAAAAACAAGTCTGCCTTATACGGCGACAATATGAATAACTATATACATATATATAAAACCACCGTTATCCAGATTCTCTGTGACCAGGAGCCCTCTGACGATTTACAAAGTCCCTTTTTATGTCTTCTTAATTCTATATACAAACAGTTTACCTTATTCGGATTCTCCGTACACCCGGATTCAGGAAATTTATTTTCAAGACGAAGTGTCGGTATTCCGCATCTTATTTTCATAATCATGACAACTATTTATCACATAAATTTGAAATTATGATAGTGTAGCTACGATAATGCACTGTTTATAAAGGAAATAAAATATTGTTTGCTTCGTCACTTTAGAATAATTTCAAAAATACCTAAAAATATTATCCTTCCATAATTTAGAGTTTTTAGAGTGTTTCTAAATTTTAAAAAGGTTTTAGTTAGGTAAACGTGTATTATATTAAGTGTTTATATTTATGTTACTGTACAACCATTTATACACCACTTTATTTTACATACAATTATGCCATTATATTTTTACTCACAGAAAACAACGGTATAAACAAATGTGGAAATCTAAAAATTAAGCAACCAGCTTTACTAGGAAGAAATGTAACGTTTACTTTTACACCGGACTCACAGGATCCAAATGCAATTCTGGAATGGCAACAAGCAGCCGACGACAACCCATGGTATACTCGTCCTTTGACATACAAGTTTACACAGTATTATGACAATGGAACATACTACATGGTCTTAACAGACAGTTTACTTAAAGATGATGAGGTTTATTACCGGATACATTATTACAACGAAAGCGTGCACTGTTGGATGAAAGCAGGAAAACTTGAACTTGATGGTAAGTCCATTTTTACTTCGTAATGCTCGCTCCACTTACTCAACCAATCAGTAACAGGGAACTTGTGATTATTTTGGTCGTCTTATCATAATAGGACATAAACTCCTTTAAAACGCCTTTCTTACTTCTATGTTCGAAAAGCGCAAACACATGAGTGAAAACTGCACTTGCTCTAAAGACTGAGAAATAAGCATACAATATATATTTAATCCGAATAGAGAGTCACATTTATAGAGACACGGGGTTTGCATCAATAAGATTAAAAATAATAAAAAACTACCGTATCGAAACTGTTGTTCTCGTACATCTTACAGAATCAATTTATAATCTCGCCTGATAATCAGATATAGACATTTTGATTCTGTTTCTTGATACTTAGAGCTATATATATATGTTTTAAGATAAAATAATTAATATGGAGAGCTATTCATGTCATAATGATTCCCATGTAATAGGGATTTGATGTTGCTTACCTATATTTGTCAAGAAGAAAAAATCAAACTAGAATCACTTGTATTTTTCTATTTTTTCTAAAAGAAACACATGTCCTTTTTTCAGATAACCCAAATAATCCATGTGGGTTTGTTTACCTGAGAAATAAACGTGTATTTGAGGGCGAGAATGTATATTTAGAATATTTTCCGTCTAAAGATGTAATGGAAAACCCTGATAATTTTGAGCGCCAGTGGGTTCGATCAAAAAACGGATCTAGATTTGATATAAAGATTGGAAATGATATTTACATTGAAAATAATATAGAAAATGGGAAGTATACATTGACTTTTTCCATTGACAACAGTAAAAGTGGAAATTACAGTGTTAATTGTGGCGGAGAAGCGGGATTTACAAATAATATTTCAGTGGTTGGACTAGGTAAATAATAGATCCGACATCCTTATAACAATATAATTAAAATTAATTAACGATGCTTATCGTGCTGATCGCGCTGTTTTAATGAGGTAGAAAAATATATATGTAGTTTTTATTTCTAATAATTACACCAGTGCATTATTATATTGCTGACGAGCCGATTGCTCTTTATAATAATTTAGAATCAACAACTAACTGCAAATTTAGTTATCTCCATTGTAACTAACTAACGAAGAATAAAGCTAAAATGTGGTCAAAACTTTAACAAATTATGTTTTGTTTTACACCTTTACACAATTTTGACCTCACCAACACGTTCTAATTATATTTCATACCCTTGCCGCTTTTTCGACATCATAAAACGATAAAAAGACGTCAGATTTATGTTTTCTGTATAAATACTAAATATGGAAAAATAACATTTTACTTATCATTATTATGTCCCTGTGTGTTGGGGTGGGGTTAGAGCGATAGTTGGGAACAGCGTGCACTTTGAGTCTTTCCCTTAGTATGCATCATGTATACACACATCCGACCGGCAGAAACCCGATTGTATATTGTTGAAGTTGCTGACATAATAACATCACGTTATGGTCAAACACTTTGCTGATACATGAGGAAGTAAAATTTTAAAGGTCATTTAAAGGCTATCTAATACATTATTTGTATTTTGTATCTTACTGTGTAATTCATGTATTTTACGGATAACTCTTAATTGGTGCTTCCGCGCTACGTGATATTTTATCGTTACAAAATCCACTAGAGTCGAAATCAATCTACTCACTTAAATGATAACCCTATTTTAATGTTGAATGGCACACAGTATACAAATAATTGGCTGTCCAATATACATGTATGTGATATTTGTTATGTTTTAGTGCCACCAAGTGCCCCGGACTTTGTTGGTTTGCAGGACATTCATGATTGTAAGAAATGCATTGTTGGTTCTGAAAAAGAGAACATACAAGTTCATTGCAAGACAAGTGGCGGGACACCACCCGTAGATGCAACTGTAACAGTAGGAGACAAGTCATTCCAAGCAATGCATCATGAAGTTGATAGATCGGTTTATATAGCATTTATCACACTTGCTGACAGTTACCACAATACAACAATCACGTGTTCGGTAATGAATGATGCATTATCGTCACCACTTATCACTACTGCCAAAGTGTATGTTATAAGTAAGTGATATTTTATCTTAGACATTAACCAACAGAATCATTTTTATTCTTTAAATTTAAATAATTTGAATTATTTCAGTTATAGATATTAAGTATGTATAAACATGAACTTATAATAAGAAGAGAGCATTGTGATTAAGTCATTGCAATACAATAAAATTAGTTATGTCAAATGAATTTCTAGTATATATTGATAAGAACAATTGTTTAACCGATAAATTATTTTGCAACCGGCAACCGATCCAAACTTTATTAAAGTTTGAAGTTTAGACTATAAAAATAACACGCAATGTGATTAATATCTTACTTCCAACATCAATGTTTACATAATTGACAAAAGAAGTATATTTCGAAGAACATTATTCTGTGGCAAATCAGAAACATAAGCAGTAGCATTATGAAAATGACAACCCGTCCGAATATACATTTTATTAAATATCTTTAACGAAATCTCTTTAAATATTTACATTTTTCTTTGCACAAGAAAAAACATATTTTTGGTGTTTTGTGAGTTCACCTTGCACTATTTGTCATTCAAATGCTTTTTAGTACTTTGTACTTCGTAGCAGTGGTATGGCCGAGTGTTTAACACATCGGGCTATTTATCTAATGATCGAAAAACTCATGGAGCATCATCATTTTACACTCATTGCTCAGTACTGGTTGGTTCCAGGAATACATTCGAAAGTGTGTTTACAAGCTTATAGCTTCCTACTTTGTAAACATATCAGTTGAGCGCCACTGAGGTTAAAAGCCTAAAATCATATAATTTGAAATTCACTGCTTCATAGATCAAGCGAAGCATTTAAAATAGTAAATATGTACAGATAATTAAGATATAGACATAATTAGAATTTAGTTTCTCGATTGAAAAGCGCTGTGCACAACCGTTTTTGTTTTGGGTCACTTTGAAAAAGAAAATACTTATTTTGTTAAAACGGGACGAGGGAATAAAAATGTTTACAGAAGTTGTTGGTCAAGACCAGAATTATTTCAAAGCAACCTTAAAAACAATTATCTTGTAATGTTTCATAATCTAAAAAGGTTTCTTTACCAGTTACATGTACTACAATTAATTTTCTGGACTTACGGTGTATACAGTGATGAATAAATTAACACCAGCATAATATCTCTGGTCTCAAAATGGAACGTACTTACT